AATTTCCTCTAAGATGGTGTTATCTCGTTCGGACCCACTTTCGCAACCTCTCCCCCTCCCCCTTTTTCCGGCCCGGCTCCTCCCCCTTTCGGACATATCTTGATTTTCCCCTGAATTGCCTTTCATGCCAGCAACTAAAGAACATAGGCTACAGTTTATTTTTAACATTGTTTTGTGTAGGCCTATATCATTTGAATTTCTTCAATTTCAAACGAATGACCGCTGATTTTCGTGTCATTTTTGTAGTATTTTCAAATGAATGCACCCAATGTTGTCTTCTAATCGGATTAAAATCTGGCCGAATTTTGGCCGATATCGAAAAAAAGTTTGGCCGAATTTGGCCGTGAGATGGCGTGTGTTTGGCCGTGAAGAATGTCGACTATCTGGACACGAGGGGCAAAACCAACAAAACGAAAACAACAAGGCCTACCAAGCCCTAGGGCCTACATTGATTTTTAACGGAATTTCGACAATTATCGTTTTAAAACTTGGTGTCTATTGATTATTAAGCAGTTTCTTGGTACTATTTTTATCATTTTTGCATCCGTGTGGTATTTCGTAGGAGCCTGGGCTCTACTATACAGGCCTACCTAGGCCTACTGTAACGGTAGCTAGCTGCCGCCGGTAGTATAGTATACAGTGTCAATAGGAAGGACCGGTTTTGTTTTTTTTTTTAGCTGCAAACAAGTTCTCACTAGGCCTAGACTCTAAACTAAGGCCTATGGCAGGCCGGCAGTTAGCTAGCCTGGGCCTAAGATAGTGAGGTGTCTCTTCATTATAATTAAGGAAATTGAAAAAACAAAATATAATAAAAATATTATTAAAACATGTTGTTAGTGACTGAAAGTGTTTTTATCATTTTACGCTTGTGTATTTGTATACTCAAATCACATAAATATATGTATAAATATATATATATATTAAAAATATTAGGCCTATAAGGATGCTTCTAACGATTAAATGATTGAAATGCTTATTATTTTCTATATTGTAATTTATATTTAGGGCAGATAGAAAAAATTATTAGATTTATCACTCTTTTTTTTTTTTAATTGAGAGGGGGAGGGGCGCTATTTTTTTTTTTTTTTAATCGGAACAATAGATTATTTCTCTTTTGTTTGTATTGATGAGGGAGGGACTGTTTATATTTGGTCTGTAATAATAAATATTGTATAAAAATTGGTTTAATTTTATAGTTTCTTAAAGAAATTGTAAGTCACAAAATTGAATTGTAATTTTTTTGGTGTTGAAATAATTAGGAATTGAAAGGAGGACCATATGAGGATGTAGAGCGGGATTGGGAAAAATTCGATCTATTCCGGTAAGAATTACTCCAAAAATCGCCATTTTAAAACACAAGTCAATATGGAAGAGTTCAAGCCTCATTTACATAATGGGAGAGAAACGTAACGAATGCAATGGCACGCGTGTTTATTCAAGCTTTCCTAGCGTTAACGCAAGCAACGAAGAGGAATTCGCGTCAGTAGCTAATGAAAGCGATCCAGATACAGTCATGTTGGTGTTTAATGTAAGTGACCAGTCTTCGTCGATGGAGGAACATGATTCCTTCCAGTGTCTAAAAAGTAAATGTTCCCATTTTTTACATCTCAATGTGCGTAGCTTAATCCCAAATCTTAACGAAATTAAATATATTTATAATCAAGTCAACCCTGCTGTTTTTGCCGTTACCGAAACATGGTTGGACGAGTCTGTTGACGATGCAGAATTACAGGTTCCAGGCTATTCCATCTTCCAGAAAGATCGTAACCGCAATGGAGGTGGTGTTTTATGTATCTTAGGAACAATTTATGTTTTGTAAATAGAATTGACTTAATTGCTGAAGACTTAGAAGCATTATGGGTTGAATTTCACCTATCGAAGACTAAACCAATTGTGATCGGTTGTTGCTATCGTCCACCAAAACAATTAAATTTCTTAGAACTATTTGAAGAAACTGTTAAGAAAATTAACCCAGACCTGGAATCTATTATTCTTGGAGATTTCAATTTTTGTTCTATTAAGAAAGATCCTTCTTATAAAAAATATGTTTTAATTTTGATTAATTTCAATAATATGATAAGAGATCTAACCCGCATTACTAATTTAAGTTCTTCTGCACTCGATCATATTTTATGTAATTCTAAAGATATGATTAACCAGAGCGGTGTCATTTCTGTTGGTCTGAGTGACCATTGTCTTATTTATTGTACTAAAAAGAAAATTAAATACAAATATAATACTCATAACACAGTGAAGATTTGATCACTCAAAAAATATAATGTACACGACTTTAATTTAAATCTCAATGCTGTAAATTGGACTGAAACAATACAATGAGTATTACTGATGTAAATCGTGCTTGGTGTAATTTTAAGGATAAATTAATTGATATTATTGACAAAGTTGCCCCTGTTAAAGAAGTGAGAATAAAACACAAAACTGAACCTTGGTTATCCTCAGATATCTTAGCTAAGATTAAGAAAAGAAACAAAATTTTAAAGAAATTTATTAATACTAAGAACATAGGACTCTACAAACAATACTGCAAGTTGAGAAATATGGTTCAGAGGGTCATTAGGAAAGCAAAATCTAATTTCTACTGTGTAAAATAAAGGAAAATAAAAATAACCCGAAAAAGCTCTGGAAACACCTTAAGGACATTGGATGTAGTACTGAAAACAAGAAAAGTAATAAAATATTTTAAAATATTGATGGTAAAACATGTTTTAATAATCGTACTATAGCTAATCTTTTTAATACATTTTTCAAAAATACTAAATACTAGACTAAGTGTAATAATTTAATGTTTGATACTAGCTCTGAGCTTTTTAAATCTTTTTATAATTCTAGAAATGTTCAGCAAAATGTGTTTATTCTGTCCGAAGTTACAGAAGAGATCATACTTGATGAACTCACTTATAAATTTCAAAGTGGTTTTAGAAGAGCTTTTTCTACCGACTCAATCCTTATTTACCTAAATGATTTTATTAGAACACAAATCTCGAAAGGTAATTACATTGGAATGATCATGCTTGATTTACAAAAAGCTTTTGATACTGTCAATCACATTATTCTATGTAAACAATTAAAAGCGATGGGGGTTGGGTCGGTCGAATGGTTCAAATCATATTTATCTAATAGAAAACAAATTGTCTGTATTGATGGTACCCTCTCTGAACCCATGGGATGTACTCATGGAGTCCCTCAAGGAAGTATTTTAGGTCCGCTTCTTTTTAACTGTTATATAACCGACATGTCAATATGTATTGATAATGAATTGCCAACTATTATTATATGCTGACGACAGTGTAATTTTGGTTGCTCATCGTGACCAATATACATTTCTGATAAGCTAGGGTACAGTGTAGAAATGTGCAACAATTGGTTGGTCGAAAATAAGCTATCTATGCACCCACAAAAAACCGAGTGCATTATATTTGGATCTAAAAGAAAGTTTTCAAGACTTCAGCATTCACTATGATTGACAGACCATCCAAAGTTGCAATTCCATTAAGTACCTTGGCTTACAAATTGATAAGTGTGTTTCAAACAATGAATATGTTAATAATTTAATTTAAAAAGCCAACTCTAGATTGAACTTCATGTATAGACAAGCTAGCTGCTTGGACAGGCAAAGTTGTAAACTTTTATGTTCTGCCTTTATCCAATGTATTTTCGACTATGCTGCGTCTGCCTGGTACCTTGGTATAAGTACTGTATTAAAAAATAAACTACAAGTAACTCAAAATAAGATTGTGAGGTTTATTCTAAAGCTTCCTCCTACGGCACATGTAGTTGGAAAAGAATTTTCCACACTTGGATATCTAAATATAATATTATAGGGTTAAATTTCTTAGGCTTCTTCATGCTTTTAAAATATACAATGACATAGATTCTTCATTTTTAACAAATAACTTTATTAAGATTTCTGAAAAACATGATTATAATACTAGAAAATCAGGTGAAAATTTTGTAATGCCACATATCAAAGGGCAAGCCTCGAAAACATTTTTCTACAATACTATAAAAGACTGGAACAGTCTTCCGTCAAGTATTAATTTTATTAAAAATATAAACGAGTATAAACATGCTTTAAAGATTCACCTTAGTAATTTGCAGTAACCTGTTTGATGTTTTTTTTGTGCTTTATTCACATTTGTATTCTTGCTTGATTGTCTATAGGACCCCATTGGAAATAAGCTGGTTTCAGCTTTATGGGTTATCCTGGTATTTATATTTTGTATGTATACTTTGTGAGCACCAAATAAAACGAATACGAAAATGAATAATTGATGCGCAAAAAAACTTTTTTTTATTCCTGCATTAATATTTCCCAAATTTTTGACACGGGTAGGAGTGATAATCTAATAATTTTTTCTATTTGCCCTTATATTTATATTACATTCTCTCTCTCTCTCTCTCTGCTTTGCTGTTCTCCAATTCCCCACATCGGATGAAGACCCACTTTGACAGTAATTTATTTTACTTTTTGGTTATTCCGCCTTGTGGGGAATCAGAGACCAACATTTATTGCATCTTTTTTGTTCTTTTTGACTGTTTTATCCTTTTATATTGTAATTGTTAATTCGGTTAAATAAATGAAACAAAAATGAAATGGTGGCAGAACATTTTTTAGACACTAATTGCTATATTCAAGTTGATCATTTTGACGCTGTGGCTTGAGATACGGTCACCGTATTTCTACTTGGCTTCTTTGGGTGATGGTGACGTAATGCCATTTACCGTACCTTTAGAAAATGGAAGTAGAAATACGATACCATATCTCTAGCCACAGCGTTTAAAATTTTTCTTTATTTGAATTATCTTCTTACTGTACTGTATCTTACTTGTATTCTTGGGCCGTCGTGAAACATAAATGCTTGTATTGTATGGTCTACTCTTTTATTTAGGTAGGCAAATTATTGTTTATTTTATTTTAATTTGTGATCAGTTCTACATACAGTAGTTTGCTAATTTCCTTATTTTATATTTGCTTTCAGATCGACCTGTGAAAGGTTGTATATCAGCAAGAATGCAAAAAATGCAGCAGAATCAAGTAAAACAATATCAAGAAATTAAGGTGGAAAATGAAACAGGTTGCTCATATTATACTATTATACTTCTACTGTATATTATGGTGATAATCATTGGCAATAATGTTAGATAGTTTATATTTTCTTTAAGTAATTTAATTTATTTAATACCCAGTTCACACGTACACATGTAACAATTTTTAAAAAAGTTTAGCAAGGATAGATGTGTGTGTGAATGCCACAATCTGGGTAAAGTCCCTTGTGATATCTCAAGTTTTTAAGCAAGGCAGCGATAGAATTTGAAATATGCTAGCCTCCTACAGTAGGCCTAGCTCATCTTCACCTAAAGGCGTATACTAGGGACTAATGCTATTTGGGTGCTGTTTTTGCTAGATCCCTGTATATTACTATATACGATTTTATAATGTACATAGACCTATCTATCCTTCGATCTAATAATTCGCAATATTTCTTCCAGTAAATGGTTCAAGAATGTATGTGTGAAAACGATTGACCAAACTCGGGAGGTCGTTTGTGTTTTTGTTTTTTTTAACTTGTTATATTTGCAGGGTTCAAATTTCCTTAAAATGCTCCATCAGCAAATAGCTGCTGTGGGCTGTGGCCCTACTACAGCAATTTATCCTTATTCTACAGCAACAAGCTTGGTAAACTGTTTTAAGAATACTGTAGCCCTATTCTATAAATGTAATTGTATAATCCATTGCTAGGCCTGGATTAGGCAACTCGACAGCAAAAAGCTTGCTGTTGAGCCTGGGATTTACCAAAGCGGTGGAAGGCCCTTTCTACAGCAATTGCTGTAGACGCTGTGGGGAAATTCGAACCCTGATTCGGTGTTCGTGTGAATTGGGTATAAGATACAATTTGTTGTACGTGTTAATTGGGTATGAGATACAATAAATTATTTAACTAAACATTGTAAACATATGTTCTTGAATGTATAAATAACAATGAATCTTTGAAACAATAGAAAGTTTTGAGATCTATCAATTATAGTGCATACATTTTAAAGTGTAATTGATTAATTAATTACAGGTTCATCTGCATCATTCTGCACAAACGGCTGTGGCTATCCTGTGCAGCGTGCAAGCATGTGGCCGTCTACAATATTTGATGATATGAAAAGTTATCTATCATTACCAAAACCAGAAGACCATTTGTTGACTTCAAAAACAAAAAGAGGTTCACCTGATGAAAATTGTTTACAGATTCTGGCTCCAGGTCATGATACCCATGAGGATAAAAGTGTGACTCGATACAATGAAAGAGAACAACAATATAAACAAATATATGATTCAAAGAAACAGTTGATGATGAACAAGGAAGAGATGGAACATAAATGTGAACATTGCGGAGAGAAATTTGATTTACTAGGTTTGAAAACACATGTGGGAATTAAGATAGAAAAGAGACAATTTCAATGCGACCACTGTGGAATGGAATTCGACTACAAAAGTGAAATGGAAAGACATGTGATGGTACATACGGGAAAGAATCTATTTGAATGTAAATATTGTGCACAGAAATTCAAGAGAAATAGCGATCTGAAAATGCATGTGAGGACACATCCAGAAGAGGACGATTCATATGAATGTGAACACTGTGCAAAGAAGTTTTACAGCACTTATCATTTAAAAAGACATTTGTTGGTACATTCAGAAGAAAGACCATACCAATGTGAGCTTTGTGAAAAGAAGTTTAAGAGCGATAGTGCATTAAAATCACATTTAATGACACATAAAAGAAAGCAACATACAGGAGAGAAAGTATTTGAATGTCAACATTGTTCAAAGAAATTACAGAGCAGTAGTCGATTAAAAACACATTTACTGGTACATTCAGAAGAAAGACCATATCAATGCGAGCATTGTGAAAAAAAGTTCAAGAGTAACAGTACCTTAAAGTCACATTTTAAGACACATTCAGAGATAAGACCATTTGAATGTGAAATTTGTTCTAAGAAATTTATAAGAAATAGTGATTTAAAAACACATTTGATGATACATACAGGAGAGAGACCATATGAATGTGAACATTGTGGGAAGAAATTTATAAGAAATGTTGATTTAAGTAGACATTTGAGGAGATATACAGTGGAGAAACAATACGAATGTGGACATTGTGAAAATAAATTTACAAGCATTTGCAGTTTGAAAAGACATTTGAAAATAACATATGATTGTGAACATTGTACAATGAAATTTACAAGCAGTTCCAGATTTAAAAAACACCTGAGAATACATAGACGTGAACAAACATATCAATGTGAACATTGTGAAAAAAAATTTAAATGCAATTTTCATTTAAAATCACATTTGATGATACATTCAGAACAGAAACCATTTGAATGTGAACATTGTGCAAAGAAATTTAAAAGAAGTCATAATTTGAAAGGTCATTTGAGGATACATACAGGAGAGAAACTGTTTTTATGTGAACATTGTGGAAAGAAATTTATGACCAATAGTAAATTGACAAAGCATTTCAGTAGGCACACAAGCGAAAAACCATATGAATGTAAAATTTGTTTGAAAAAGTTTAAGAGCAGCGGTGGTTTGTGTTCACATTTGAAGTTACATTCAGGAAATGAAACATAAGTGTGAACATTGTGGAAAGAAATTTAAGTGTAGTCGCGTTTTGAAAATACATTTGAGGACACACACTGGAGAAACACCTTTTGAATGTAAGCACTGAGCAGTAAAGTTTAGATATGGCAGAGATTTGAAAAAACATTTGATGAATCAGCATGATTCACACTAGAAATCTCTGACTTTTTTAGAACTAGAAAACTTGGATAGCAGAAGAATGAGCTCTAATTAAAATTGATGGAACGTCCGCCCTCTCGAGAATGGAGGAAAATTATTTGGTGGAGTGGAGGAACTAATGAAACAAACGAAACAGAGTATTATCTTGATTGAAATTGATTAATAAAGATAGACTGTTGGATGGAGAAAAATTGATTTCATGGACAGTCCACATTATTGTGAATACACTGATTACGCGAGGTTTGTTTACAGCCGTTCTTGTGACAAATAGTGGGTGAACCATTGAAAACATTACAGTGCAATCAGTGTGAAGGTATAGGAAAGTGTAATGTTATGGTTTGAAAACAGCCACCCTCTCTTAACTCGAGAAATAACTGGCAGGAAAAGGCTTTGTTCAAAATAGTGTTTATTTACTTATTCTAGCTTTCTCCTTGCATTTTATGCTTCAAAATTTATGTGATCTTTCGTAAACCTTAATAGCTAGCCTGAAAATCGTAGAGTAATTCGCAGGTCGAAGACTTTCATGCGTAACTAAAGAGGCTGTAGATATGCTAGGGCCTAGGCCCAACATTTTTTGTAAAATCCCAGTGTTTGGGGCCAGTATCTTTTGGAGCATTAGCAAACCTTTAGGCAAAATTCTCAAGTTCAATTTACAATCAATTTGGTACAGTTTATTGGCGTCCCAACAAAGATTATTCAACATCATCTGTGCCTTACAGCAGAGGGAGGCCAACCTACTGACGCACAATGGATGTATTTTCCCTTGAAATATGTCCAAGATTATCCCTAATTCCTTGGATGACTATGGCCAAGATTATCCCTAATTCCTTGGATGACCAGTCACACAAAGTTTGTGTGGTGAATTTTAGGACATCAACAATTGACGTAACTTGCATCACGTTCAAAAGAACAAATACAGCAATTACTATGATTTTTAATGCAGTAACAAGCGATGGCAGCCATAGCAATGTCCATGTATGCCGCTGTGCCAGTCCATTGTTTACATCCAACACCCACAATATGTCACATGACCGCAGTCGCGGGATTGGTGTATTGCTCTATCTTCTATTTATGGTACTGAAAAAATATATATTTTAGAATTTTATATATTATTTTTTCATTTATTTTTAGTAGTTTGTAGATATTGTTTGTATTATCTCAAAATCATGTTTTATATTGTATGTAAGTGCACCAGCAACCAAACCAAGGTGATAATTTGCTTTAGCACAAAATAAAAATGCAAAGCTTCCCTCAATCATAACTTTTTTAGCCTAGATAGGGTAATAAACTTATTTACACAATAAGGCCTAACATATCTTGTTTGTACAGAATACCAGTGTATTACTATTATCCTGTCATGGCCTGGTCACATTTTGCAAGCACTGTGTTGCCGAGACAATTGATTCTGTCAAAAGTTGGTACGGTATAGTCGAGGCAATTCAACAGAAGGACGCACATCTCGGCACATCAAAGGTTATAACTCTTGCATCGACATTCTAGGCGCACGTGCGTCCCTACATGCTGAACGTCACAAAAACCATAGCAACCAGACCATAAACGTACGTGACGAATTACCCACGTGCGTGTTAGTAGCCATGATAATCGCGCGTCGTACGGTGATTACAAAGGCCTAATGATATTTTGCACTAACATTAGACTGAAATTATATTCTTCATTTCAACATTAATTTTACCGATATTGTGGTGTATTGTCGTTCATGAGACTCACTTTGCAGAAAAAATTAATGTTCTGTATTTACTCAAATGTTCGTTTTCGGCACCTTATGCCAACATTGTCAAAATGACAGATTAATGTTACATAAGAACATGAAATTTTATAAAATTCGTAAATTTTAAATTCCTATAACTTTTCATTTTTTTGGTCAGTTTTCACAAATCAAATTGCAGTTTATAGAAGCATTTAACAAGCTCGCAGTAAAAAAAAAATCAGATGTAACAAACATTGCGAAGTACCCAAAATTAATAAAATAAAAACTAACACCATAAAACGAATGGCACGCATAGACTAATAATTGACGGCTGTACTCGCAACTAGTATCAGATTGTCGATGCCACAGTAAATATCAAAGGACTGTACGCACGCGCTATGTGAGGGCGGAGGTGTGCGTCCTTCTGTTAAATTACCTTGGTATAGCCCATGCAAGCAGGATTGTGTAAAATGGGCTTTTAGTCATCAAGCATTCAAGACTCATAGATTCGCCAGTGCTCTCAGAGGAGGTCCAGGGAAAAAAAAAACAACCTGTACTGTAACCTCCAACAATTTCGGTATTATTTAACCCTTTAAAATTGCTGTACCTGTTTGCCTCTCAAATAATGGCAATGTCTGTTAATTTAAAGATCTGAGTTTCCTAATTCTAGTACTTGGGTTTTTTAGAACTAGAAAACTCAGATCAGAGACTTTTTTTTCTTGTTGTCTTGATGTTTTTGTTTGTGTCATTCTTGCCTAGTGGTACACTTGCATGTTCATTAAGTCTGGAATATTTTGTTTTCTTTTATTAAATTAAATTTTTTTTTTCAATTTTAATGTGTGTATACAGTATGACTACTCAAGTGATCAAGGAAAAAAAGCTGAAAAACAACTACCACCAAATATATTACCCGATGTAAATCTGTATGATCTGCTACTTAAGTAGCTTACTACAGTAATTTATTAAAGTTAAATTTCAGTATACTTGAATAAATGCATAAAAGTGTATAATTGTTAAACCTTATCTATGTTAAGATTTGCTTTCCTTTTTCTATCTAAAAGTTGTATGCCGGGGGTACAGGGGCATGCGAAATTTGTTTTCTGGAAGTACTGAAATAGCATGAGGTGTTTCTGCTGTAGTTGTTGTGACACAATGAAAAAACAAATAAGTTCAATTATTTATTTATTTATTTAATATGCTTTATCACTGCACAAAGAAAACATATACAATAGAAAAACACAACAGACAGCAGCGAAAAGGAAGGGATGAACAGGTGACAAGCACCTCTGTCTACATCCCCCCTTGAACAAATAACCTCACAATCAAAGATACAAGAAAACAGGGAACTATATATTAT